CATGCTCCCTGTGACTCTCCCCCCACCGGCCTGATCAGCAAGAGAAGGGGATAAATGACAAGAACATAACGAAAGGATTGTCCCGGGGAATATCATTAAAGTTTTACACGCTCCACTTTTTTTTTTTTTTTTGCAGAAATGGGACTGGGATTGCTCTGGTTGTCCTGCTGCTGCTGCTGCTGCAAATTTGAAAGAATATGCATGCATTTAACCTGGATTTTTTAAAGAGAAATGAGTCTTTTTTTGCTCGTGCATATTCCAAAAATTTTCAGCTTTCTCCTCCACTCAATCCAATCCTCTGTGTTAATGGTGATACAGAGGAGCAGGGATGCCAGACCATTAGGTACAGGATGTAAAAACAGCCCGTCCGTCCTCTTTGTGGATGCTCTCCTTCCGCCGGCGTGTTTGGAGTTATCCGAAATAATTAGAGAGGAACAGATTGGCAGACGGCAGACACACAGAGAGAGAGGGAGATAGGAAGGCACCTGTCTTTGAGGGAGCGAAGGAGGGGAGGGAAGAGTTTGTTGGCATGAGGCTGGTGCACTCTGCTTCACAGCACCTCTGGCCTCTTTCTGTCTTCCCCTCTCTCTCCCACTGACTGATGTAAATAATAATAGAAGCAGGACTGAAAGGACACAGGTGTCAACCATTGTGCCGCTCTGAATGGACCTGGGGGAAGGAGGTCAGGGGTCACAGGGTCACCTCAGCCACCTCTCACACCCACAGTTTTTATTCACACTGACGCTCCCTTTCATAGGTTTTCATCTCGCTACTCCCCCGAAACCTCCTCCCCTCCTGTGTCTCCCTCGCTCACTCTCTCCTTTTGTTATCATAGCTCAATGTTTTGTGAAAACTTTTTCAGAGGTCATGCACAAGCGGCGGTATTCGAGAGGGGGAAGATTAACATTCTTTGCGAAATTAATCAGCTCGCGACAACGACGTGGATCGATGGCAGGTTTCCATTTGAAGAGCCAACAAATGGATGAAAATTGACACATCAAAGAAGAATCTGAATATTGAATATTTATGGCGTTTATTTTCAGAAGCAGTACGTTTCCGGGTATTTGTCATATTTAGCAGCATTATTCTTCAGCTTATGACAGCACACTCATCCACTGCTGCTGCTGCTATCTGCACAATTATTTCATTTTTGAAGGAATCTGCAGGATAATGTGAAAGCGTTTCACAGAAAACATTCTTAGAACCAGCTTAATATTCACGTTCTTGATGAGAATTAGATAAGAAAACTAACGCCAATGTCTTTCTTGCTCTTCAAATATGCTGTTGGAGCAAGTCAGTTAGCTTAGCTTAGCGTATGGATGGGGAACATGGAGAAACGACTAGCCTGGCTTTATGATTGTGACCAAGTCCATGAATCACTACCTCTAAAGCTCGCTTACTAACACATTGCATCTCTTCTGTTTAATTTGCACAAAAAATAATTAAAAATGTGAGGCACCCAGAGGCCTTTATGCTAAAGCTAAGCTAAGTTCTCTACACTGCACATGCTTAAGAATGGTGTCGATCCACTCATCTAACTCATCTAAAGAACATCTGTTTCCCAAAACTACTCCTTTAATGTTTTCTATAAGAGAATTTTAAGAATGTATTTGACTTAAAACAGCAAAACTGCAATAGCTTTTTAAAACTGCAGCTACTTTTCATTCACATCTTTGCATTTTGTGTGCGTTTTTCAGTGTACAAATAATATCAACAGATGCTATAGAGTCCCTCTGTGTTGCCTTATAGGCTTATACTAATACAAATACATCATGTATTACCTCTTTCCCACCCCACTTTTTTACATTTGCTCATCACACGAGGTTCCTGATTCTCATTTTCACCATTTGGTCACCAGTTCTAAACCCAGTGGTAGGCCACGATTCATCTTAAATACACAGAGAGCACACACAAGACAGTGAACATGCAAGAAACAATAGCTGTGTGTACACCAAGGCTTCTGTAGAGCTCAATGTAAACGATGTAGACGGGGATTTGTGGCCCAGTGCCCTTTGTGCTCAAAGAAGCGGGACAAAGAAAGAATCATAAACTGGGCCTGGTGCATGATGGCTGAAGTGCACTGGGTTATTTCCATGGATATGTGACTATAGTCTGAAACATGACCCTGCTGCATCAGCAAAACTTTGTGTGTAAATGTGAAACTGTGTGCTATAAGGTAAAAGGTTACGGACTTGCATTTGGCTTTACTGCTATAGCACACCTACAGTCGATCTGCGTCTGTAGATATAGAGATTAAGTAATATGTTAAATCAGCCGCATTACAAAGTTCATTAAGTGGGAGGCCGGTTGGCTAATCAGTCTGACACCTTTCAAGTCGTACGTGTAGGCAGTAAAGCGGCCAGCCTCGGCTTTGCTCTTGGCCTTGGCTGTTTGAAGTCACAATGAAAATGTTTGATCTTGACATAGATCCCAGGCTAAACCTTGGGGGGAAATATGGAAGAAATATAGCCATTATGCAAAAGGAGTGCAGTTCAATTTGCAGCGGCGGGATAATGGCCGAAAAAGACAGCGTAAATACATCCACGGATACAGTGGTACATCTATATTTTGTGACCGGCAGTGCTGTGGGTGGATGCTCCTCAGCCTATGAGATCCATGCGTGGTGGAGATAGAGATGCTGGAGAAGGGTGAGAGGATTTATTACCTAGCATTAGGAGCACTAATCTGTTGCAGGTGTTTCTGGCTGTTCTCCCAGGCCACGGCTGCTCTTCTCTCCAGGAGGCCCCAGCATTGTGTGAGCATGTGTGACAGAGGAGGAGACAGAAGGAGGGAAAGAGTTTTTTTCTCTTCTTCTTCTTCTTCTTTCTACGATATCTGCAGGGAGATTATACCGTCTTCACAATCCTCTCAAATCATCAAGAGTGTCAAGATAAGGACAACGAGAACATGTATTCCAATTACTCCGCGCCATCAGTCATATCAGCTGCAAGACCACAGAATCAGAAGAGTCGAAGCGAGCCGTGCAGACTCCTGTATTACAGATTCAGAGCTTCCTATTGTTGGTTTAGAATCGAATTTATATGTATCCAAAAGAAACTGCTTGTTTCTCAACTTTTCAAACTACACTACCAGTTCTCGTGAGTTTTTTTTTCTTCTTTTTTTGAGGTGACAAGGACAGTGTACTCCTGTAGAAAACTGCTTTAACAGCAGGGAACAACTTCTAGGGTGCGTTACAATAGAGAAAGACCACCAGGATGGATTGAGCCAACAGCTTCACAGGAAGCCTGTGGTGCCTTTGGGGATGATGAACAAAGGCACAAAGGAGCCCACTGAGAAAGTCCTGCTCTGTAGGAAGTCTGCAACGCCTACTGTGGCCAGGACGAAACTAAATGAAGTAGAGGAGAACCCAGGGGTGGAGAACACAGGGAAAGGAACTGGGAGGCGGAGTATTGATATGGTGATGCAAAAAAACATAAAAAATCTGATGACTGCCAGCAAGGTGAATCAAGATTTAAAATATATATATATATTGCACTAATTTACTTCATCACCATCAAATTCACAAGGCTCTGTTATTTTTTTCCTGGCAGGTATTGATTCCACTGGTTGCTGTGTGCAGTAATGCTCCTGTACTACTTTGGCACTACTGCCCTCATGTGGATGTATCAAGTATTAATCCATTCAGATTTATGCCTCACAACAAACATGGCTCAAAAGACTTGGTTTGCATGAGTGTCGATCATTGAATGGTGGCAAACGGGTTAACACAGAAAACAAAAGTGCTGCTAAACATGCCTAGATTTATCTCAGGGTCACTGCACCATTAAATATAGCAGTCCTACGCTCCTGAAGAGTCTGAAGTCAAATGTGAAGTCATTGACGTGTAGGATGCAAATACACAAATGTTTCTCCGAGAATGCAAATAAGTTTATTTTTGTCTTTTCTTTCGGTTTTCTTTTTGTGTTTCTTCCATCTGCTCATGTTAGTTAGCTGTACCATGTTTCTCACTGCGCTATATTATTGTTATTTATTGTGTTTAGATTTGTGGACCATCTAAGCCAGGGGTGTCCAATCCTGGTCCTCGAGAGCCCCATCCAGCATGTTTTGGACGTTTCTCTCTTCCAACACACCTGATTCAAATGATCAGCTCATCATCAAGCTCTGCAGAAGCCTGGTAACGATCCTGATCATTTGAATCAGCTGTGTTGAAAGAGGGAAACATCTAAAACATGCTGGATAGGGGCTCTCGAGGACCAGGATTGGACACCCCTGATCTAAGCCTTTTAGCTTCCTTCCTCCTCATCATCCATCCATTATCTATACACGGCTTAATCCTCACTAGGGTCGCGGGAGGCTGGAGTCTATCCCAGCTGACTTAGGGTGAAGGCAGGAGACACCCTGGACAGGTCACCAGTCTATCACAGGGCTACACTTAGAGACAGACAACCAAGCACACTCACATTCACACCTATGGACAATTTAGAATCACCAATTAACCTCAACATGGTTTTGGACTGTGTGGGAGGAAGCCGGAGCATGAGAGAACATGCAAACTCCACACAGAAAGATCCCGGTGCCCCCACCGGGACGCGAACCAGCGACCTTCTTGCTGCGAGACAGCAGTGCTAACCAACTGCGCCACCTTGCAGCCTCATCATATATCCACTAAACTACATTACTGTATCCAATGGTATCATGATGTTTTATTCATGCAAATGAAACAAAGACTTACTTCTGTAGCCTGTTGCATGTCATTCCCTGGTTTTTCTTTCTCATTGTTGACCATCAACTGTCAACTAACAGCTGAGTGCTTGGGGTGCATACCACATGGGTGCAGATGCAATCAAGCAGTGAGTTGCCAGTTTGATTTCTGGCCGACCTGCATGTCATTCCCCTGTTCCCTTTCCCCCACATATCCTGTCACTGTTACATAAAAGGTGACAAAACAAACTCTCAGTAGTCCGCTGTTAAATAGAAGCAAAACGCATTTTTAAAAACGTAATAAAAACTGCGAACAAGCACAAGAAACAAAGCACGACTACGGTGAAAATGTGTTTTATTTGTTTCCTTCTTTGACCGCAGAATAGCAATAATGTAAAAGTTTGATATTAGATCCAAAGCTGAATCTCATCTGAAGAAGAGGAGGCGTCCTCTCATATTGTGTGTTGCACCATGTGCTGTCTTATGAGTGGTGAGTCTGGTGTATTTTTTTCTTTCTTGATTTACACTCACTGACTCACTGAGCTGTTCTCCCTGTAGACATTTTAGAGCTGGACCACTCTCAAAAAGCAAAATGAGGAAAGTGGAAACCAAAGATTAGGGTACAAAATTGGGTGTACTAGAGTATGAAAGCTAAATCTGAGAGGAATATAAGTGGAATTTACTAGATATAGACAGAACCGTCCACAGTATATCCATGCTCAGTGTGTGTATCAATTCATTATACACTTGATATCAAAGCTCTAGCACGTCAATGTTGTGAATTGAGAACTTTTATAATAGTGCTACAGACCGACGCGCTTCAAGGGATGTAGTTGTAGGAGTTCTGGATGATATAGTTTGTAACAGAAGGAAACATGTCTTTGCTGGCAGCCGCAATGTACGTGAACCAGGGGTAGAAGAGATCCGACTGTCTCGTAGCACCTGTCATGATGATGTTCAAGGCTGCGTCTGTGGCAGGGTAGGCTGGTACTTTAGTGACACCCCTAGGATCCAGAAAAAAGTGTATTATTATTGTTACTTAGCTAACACAAACACAACACAAATACTATTAATGATGCTACTTGTTAATCAGATCTATTTGACTCACTTGACTTTATCCATAGCTGCTTCGGTATCAATGAGCCCCAGCGTGCATATAGACACCGACACGTTGCTTTTCTTCATAGCCAGCTCGTGCTGAAGGGACCCAAAGAATCCGTTCAAGGCAAATTTTGTTGAGGTATATGGCGCCACGAAGGGACTGGACATTTTACCTGTGAACCAGCAGCAACAGTTAGACAAGAACAGTCAATTTAGTATCTTTTATAGAACTTTCAAACATACAAAATCTTTGCAAAATGCAGTTTCATGTTAGACCTTAAAGGGTTATGTCAGTATTTTTTGTTTGAGCACTAGCAAAAAAAACATCAGTCATCTTTAACATGCGGAGAAACACATAAATCTGCTAATGAAGACTATTAGGTATGACTAAAAGCTTCAGAGCAGAACTTCTAAATTTCTACCTCTAATCTGTTGTTTTAAGGTCACAAATTACATTTGAAATCCCTTTTTTTACATTTCACATTTCTACATTTGTCTTCTCATTGAAAGGTGTTTTGTAACTTTGTTATGACACAGGGCTTTACAAATGTATCATCATAAAACAGGGGATGATTACTGTATTATTAATAATTTATGCTAAAAAAAATACCCAAAACAAACAAAAAACACTAAAAGTCAAATTAACTAGAGCCAACTAAATCATCTGGACTAGTGGGTGGAAACATTTGGAGGTATTAAAGGTCCCATACAGTGAAAATCCATTTCTATTGTGTTTTGTGGTTGTTAGAAACTTGAAGGTGTAAAGTAAAACGCTTTTAAGATATGAGAGATACAAGAGGTTAACTTCTGCCATTCCCTAAGCCACACCACAACTAGGCAGCCTTCCAGCTTTGCAAGCCAGTAAGAATTTTACTGATCCGCTCCATACCAATTGAGTCATCGAGCTCAAACTTTGCATAATCCTGCCCCCTCGCTGCCTGCTGCTAGTGAGGTGACCCATTCCTGCCTCGCTTTCCACCAGGTTTGCTGATATTCTAGAGCTGCTTTTATCCAGCTTTAAAAGGTCTCAGTGACAAGCAAATCACAGCACATGTTCTGCCGTCGGCTGTAAGTGAACACAAGAGTCTTCATGCACTCCCAGCATCAAGACCCATAAGTTATTTTTAGTCGTAGCGCATGTTGCAGCTAATGTGGAAAACTTTATCATTAGCTTTGATCGTGTGCCTGCAGGTCAGAACTAATGATAATGTTAAACTGAATGACATTTAGAAATGGTTAAAACTGTAGAACTAGGGTTGCAAAGGGGCGGAAAATTTCCGGTAAGTTAAATTTCCATGGGAAGTTAAGATGGGGAATTTTGAAAATATTACATATTGGAAACTTACATGGAAATAATTGGAATTAATGGAATTTATGGGAATTAATGGGAATTTAGGGGAACTAACTGGGAATTGAGGGTAATGTAATGAAATTGTATCATATCACAGCATCACATTTGAAGTAGGTAGCATTTTTATAAGAGTGCCTCATAGATGCACTCTTATGCTAGCTATGGCTTATTTAGCATTTAACTTAGCTAGCTATATACTAGATGAATACATTTATGCTAGCTATGGCTTATTATATATATATTTCATGTATAAGCCATATGCTAGCTATAGCTTGTTTAGCATTTAACTTATCAGCTAGCTATCTACTAGATGGATATATTTGTATGTTATATTTGCAATTTAAACATTTAATAAATATATTTCCCCATAATATCCACAGTCCACAGGCGCAAATGTGTGCCTTCAACAGTCTTGTGCTTTGGGCTCAAGTGCGGTCCGGTCTTGTAGAAATCATCTGTCCATGTGATGGAGGCATGCACAGTGCCTGTAGGGGGTGTGGTCTCAGTAGACATGCAGTAAGCAGTTTCCTGTGTGTGCATGTGATTGAGGAATGACATGGATATTCAAGTGTACTTGGATGGTATCTGTCAAGATTATACTAAAATATATTTTCCCCAACTATATTTAAGTTCCCTATGAAGAGCCAACCTTCAGTTTTGAAAATTCCCAGTTTATTCCCGTTTATTCCCATAAATTCCCGTTAATTCCCATAAATTCCCAACATACAGATAAGTTAAAAATGACTTCAGCGATATTTCCATTTAAAACAACTGCTCAGATAGAAAGCTAGAAGCAATAGAAAGTCCAGGTCTCACACACCCATCCATATCTGTGGGGTTGACTGTTTTACTTTCTCAATGACAGACGCAGAGAGACTCTTTTTCCCTATGTGGGTGTGATCAGCGGCAGGTCAACTACAACTAAAGCTACAGACGCTGAAAACACGTGTTTAGAAAACCGGGAGTTATACAGTCATGGTAAATTAAACCATCCTTGCAGTGTTTTGAGCTGTAAAATTGAAAGACACATTCTGAAGCCATGTGAGGGTTTCATTGATTTGCTTAAAAAAGGCACAATATGAGACCTTTAATATTAGTGTATGCACAGGTTATATTTCATACTTTGTTGTCTTTAACGTGTGTATTAAAAAAAGTGAGACAAACCTACCCAAAAGTGATGAAACAATTATGAGTGATCCTTTACTGTCTTCAAGGGAGGCCAAAGCTTTCCAAGCCATCTGAACATAGCTGAAGAAATTGACCTTTGAAAAGCACACAAAGACACACAGTGATTGAAAGAAGCAGGATTCCTTTTATTTTATGTACTGAAAAATCACCAAAATGTTCCATTACACTCATCAGCCACTTGGTGTGATCCACATCTCCCGTCCACATGCTGAAGGGGCTCGGGCCAATGTGGTTGAGAACCAGGTAATCCAACCCTCCCAGCTTCTCCAGAGCAAAATCTACCACTTTAGCAGGCTCAGACTCACTGGACATGTCTGCTGCAACATAAAGAGCTTTCTGGGCCCCTAAACTTAGGCACTTTTCTACCACCTGTGAGACAAAATCAAGAAGAATGGGTAAACTGTTCAATACAGCGGCAGACACCAGTACAATCAGTACAGAAAACACCTTTGATGCTGTAATGGTAACAACTGACCTGTCTAGATTTCAATTAAAACACTGTATATGACATGATGGACGAAGAACTTTACAGCTAAAATGTGTGCATGCAGCATTTATTGTAAAAAGCTTTTACTAGTTTGAGCTTTGAAACCATGTTGTAAAGTTCACTGACCTGCTGTAATACTTTCTCCCTCCTTGCTGTAATAACAATCTGGGCACCAAAGCGGGCATAATGATACGCCATTTGTTCACCGATACCCGTGCTGGCCCCCGTCACCAATACCCTGGCGCCCTTGAGTGATTCTGAAACATATTAATTCCATTTTAATATATCAATAAGCAAAAGGCACGATTTGTAAACTGCATAGCGATGAACAGAAATAAACTGTATTCGTTTCATATATTCTGAAGTTGTTATTTTAGTTCAATTTATGAGCCTCACTTGACCTACAATCATTCACCACATATTGACTGTGGCTCCGATTTCAGAGCAGGTTGCCCAATAATCTTCGGGTCGGTTTGATCTTTGACCCCTCTCTGTGCTTTAGTGTCCTTGGACACTGAGGCCCAAGTTGCTACCAATGGCACTAATTGCTGTGTGAATAACAAATACATGAAGTGTAGAAACCAGCTAAGACTAAAAGGTGCGATTCAAGTGTGGACTATTTCCGTTCACCTACATCATAAAAAGATAAGCCAATCAACGCTATCAAAAGGACTTTGATTGGCTTCGATAAGATAACAATTACATCAAGTCCAAGGGCATGTTGACATTACATGTTGTAAAAATGTCTGTGCTGTGTTAGTGGCTTCCCAATAGGTCAGACAATGTTGCAACTGTTACAAACAGCATTTCATATGTAAGATTTGAAAACTACCCTCGGGACTCCATATTATTGCATTAATATTGGAAACCACAGACTGGACAGAACACTATTTCATACAGTCTAAAATACAATGTATCCTCACAGTGTAGACAAAGGCTATATTTTCTCACTGCTCAGGCCTTGGTCACAAGCTGAAAGCAGATTATTAGAAATTACTCGCTCAGTTTGTGCCACCTCTCTGAAATTTTTCAAAGGGCAAATTAAACTTTAATTATCAATGAGATTATTTTGTTCAGAGCGGATTAACAAGCATGTAAAGCATCTCATCACCAAATCAGTTATGTACGTTTATGTGGTCCTAACCATATGATCCACAATTGCAAATAGACTGTTTAAATTGTTACCTCATGGGTTACGGGTTGGGTGATAGGTGAGGAGGTAAAAAATAATTACAGATTAAAGATTAATTGCATTAAAAAAAAACAACTCTCTTTTGGCTTTAAATTCAGCAACATTTTCTGCTTTAAAAATGGGAAGCAATGCCTGTATCGCACAGTTCTCAGGTATTGCATTGCCCAGTTAATATGAAAACAATACCAACCTTGTGCTATGGAATTAGAGATTTGGGATTTAAACAAAACACGCAATACATAAATATAATGTACTAACATAATGTTTATTTCTATACTATAATAAACTGGCCTGAGCTTTGATTTATTTTACACAGTTCTTTGATCCTATCAGTTCTTTTATTGTATCATACAGTTCTTTGATCCACATATTGATTTGCTGCTTCCGTTGGCATTTGATTTTTGAGGTCAAAACACAACATACATGAGTTTTGATTTATTTGATCGTATTATGCGGTTCTTTGATCCTATTCAATTTTGCATTTTGTACTCCTACACACATCATCATCACATCACATACATATATGCCATTCTATGTATATGCAAATGGAATATAAAGCATATTTTATATATCTAATTCCCCGCAACTTTTCATCTAAATATAGAAATCGAGTATAAAACTGGTGGCAATTTTAAATCGGGTGTATAATTTCTAGTTCTGGTTGCATGCTGCACTTGATTATCTAACACAGGGGTGGGTTTCCCTCTTCCAGCACACCTGATTCAAATGATCAGGATGGTTATCAGGCTTCTGCAGAGCTTGATGATGAGCTGATCATTGGAATTAGGTGTGTTGGAAGAGAGAAACATCTAAAACATGCAGGATTGTGGAGGACCAGGATTGGACACCCCTGATCAAACAGTATGTCAAAAAAAAAAAATAAACCTCACATATCAAAGCTCTTTCAATATTCACCCTGTATGGTAATAACTCTTACTGTAGCATATACACTCTTCACAGTAAGCCTTTAGGTGTGGTTTTGAAAACACACTGCATTCAGATTTACACATTGGCTTTGATTTCATACGACTGTGTTCAGGAATGACGCTCTTATGTTGCAACCACCTGCAGCACCAACACCCTCCAGTCAGCAGAATAAAACTTCATATCTGCTACTGTTAAAGAGGCCGACACAGGTTTTTGATAACAAGTTAACTGATAAATTACCTCCAACATTCTTACAATAGCAAATACCTGTCTTCACTCACCTGCATCAAACTTGGGTGCATTCCACTTGACAGCCAGGAATGCGACACATATACCAGTAAAAATGACTTTAGTGAAAGTTCCCATTTTGTTTTAAAAAAAAATAAAAAAAATACTTGGTGCTAGATAATTATAAGCGCAAGGGTAGGTTGACTTCTTTAACTAGTCCGGTTTTGACAGAAGCAAGAGTCATTTATATGCGTTTCCCTCCTCCTCTGTGCTGAACTGCGGGGGGGCTGTTTGTGTTGGTCAGATAAGAGGTTTGCTGGACTTGAATCAGGTCCGCCCCGCTTCTTACGCTTTAAAAACTGCCTCTTTAAAATAAAAGTTTTTTTTTCTTTTTCTATGGTCTTAAATTCTCGATTTAAATTGCTATAATTAAATAAAAAAGAAAAACGGACAGAAATAAAGAAAAAGAAAAAGCCGAAACAAACGAATCTGCCGCTCGGAAATAGCACAAGCTTTTGAAGGCAACTTTATTGACAAAACACTGCGCAGGGATCAAGCAGCCTTGTCCTTCAGTGCTGCTAGCCGGTTAGCCTTCACTACGCTTCATTGTTGGGAGTGTTAATAACAACAGCACGTAAAAGGAAATTACACCGCTGTGGACCATGGCGGCAAGGATTTTGCCCGTAGTGAAGTTAGTATTTTTAATTTCATTCGTTATTTCCCTTGAATTGTTGGTAGTATAGGTGCTAAATGCTCGATTAGCCGGTTAGCTTACTGACGCTAAGATAACTGTCAGGCTGCCCAAAAAGGTTTCCAGCTGTTATCAACAGACACTTTGCTTGAAATAAATTGCTACATTGGCTACATAATTCACAGCTAATATGATTTTATTCTGCTTTCTGTGTATTTCGGTGGTGAGCTAATGAATTAACTTTCTTCGTCAATGTAAGCTAATGTTTCAAACATTGCTAACTACAGATTGGTAATGTGGCATTAATAAAGCACCTTCAATGGGGATCTGTAGTAACAGTAATAATGTGTATATTTTAAGTTTGGCATGTGTGTCGACATAGGGGTGGGTATTTTTGGCTTAAAGCCTGACTTCCTCTCTTCTTTCCTTTCCAGACTGGCCACCAAGGTGACCATTGCAGGAGGAGCCCTGTACGTTGCTGTTGACTCTGGTCTGTTGGGAAGCAGTGAGCAGGGCTCGAAGGCCCTGGAAAAGGCCAAAGCAGCAGTTCCACCTGCCATAGAAGAATGGATGAAGTACTTTGGCCTGGAGGTACAAATAAAATACACTCCTTAAGAAACTAGATCTGATCCAGGAAGGCACTGGATCAGGGTTAGTAGTCACCACAGCTGTGTCATAAGGCTACATAAGAAAGGAAATGTGTCAAAGTATTAATATTAGAAATTGGCCGACCACAAAAAGCAAATAGATCAGTCATGTAGACACTCATGATAATGTTTTAGATGATGTCATTCCCCATCTCATGACCTGTCCTTTATACTAATATTGGCAATTATATAACAGTCAAAAAAAACAATGGTTTACAAAATGCTTTAACAAAGCAACAGCAAGCAGGTTAAAACAAAAAGACAACAGATGTAACAATGCAACACGCAATAAACTAATATTAGCCAGGTTATGTCACTGTTATTCCTATCACACATTCAGAGTGACAGCTGTTGAGACAAAGTTCTTCCCAGTAGAGATATTAGATTAGTTTGGAATTCACCCAACTTGTTTAAGGACTGAGGTAATTATTAAAGTGAAGACTCTGCAATGCTATACACTTTTTTGCAAAATTACCCTAATGAATTTATACATTAAAATTTAGATTGTACAGTGTTATCTATAACATAATCTAGCCTGACTAACTTCAATGTCAAAGCAAGGAGCTGCTACGCTGTACACTCAAACTTTGGGGTTAAGACCCTACAAAATCATCCATGGAAAAACCCAATGGAACTCGGCTCATAAAACAACAGCAGCATTAATTATTAATGTTTTTTTTCTACAAAATAACCAGGCCAGTGACATTTCAGAATGCTGTTCTGGACAAATTCTTGTGAAATGAGACTAATCCATTATTATTGCCAACAGATGGCACTGTGCAGTTCTTGCACCATATGATGTTAAGGAGCATCATAAGTGAGAAGTCAGCAGCCAAAATGATGCATTTTACTTTTCACATGACTGCAAAGCAAAATACAAAACAGTGTGCTATGTTGTTATCAAAAATAGATTCGCATAATAGATCCCCGTGTTCTCCTTTCAGGCTCAGCTTCCAACCGTGCCTAAGATTGAATTTTCCCCTGTTGAGACGTGGAACTCTGGTGAGAACTGAATATTGGCAAAAATTCACAGTCGTCAGCATCACTATAATGAATTTGAGATTAGTAATATTCTTTTGGTTCACAGCTTGTACAAATTTTCAATGTCTCAAACCCAAACTACTTATTTTTACGTCGTTACAGGAGTGCGGTGGACCATCTCAAGTCTTTCTGAAGCTCCAACAAAAGCAAGCGAATACACAAGTCAGGGACTGCAGTACCTGAAGGACCTCACCAAGTGAACAGGAACTCTCCGGGTGACCTGACAATTTCAATCCGCTTGACTTTTGCACTTGAGAAAGACATTTACTTCTATAAAAGTTGTAACCCCTCCACGAGACAGAAGAAACACCCAACAAGAAAGAAAACTCTAGATGAAAAGAAGTTGTGAAATCCAGCTACAACGAGCGTACTCTGCTGAACGAGTACTGTGGTTATTTAACTGATAGTGGTATTATGTGGGCATTGTACATGATGCTGGGAAACAAAATGTATTTAAAACAAAACGTTCTGTCATTTTGTGTGTACCACAGATGGAATTATTAACACTGTCCAATGTAGAGTGTTACGTTACCCTGTTCTCACCCAACCCAAATAATGTTGTGAAGAGGATGTCTGTTGTATATGCAATTTCACAATTTGCGAGTAATACATCGATCTTAAAACATGTCCCGTCTTTAGCTTGATTTATTGAGTCAAACCACATTCTGATCAGTGTGTTCAAATAACAAGCTCAACAAATGTGCAAAAATCTTTATTACTCATGACAGAATAATAATGACACAAATTGTCGGTTGATTCTACAACTTCAGAGCAGGGGGAAGGTGGCCGGAAGCGTGAAGAAGAGTGCCGTCAATTGTGACTTCACTCGACACAACCACACTTTTTTTTTTTGCTTTTTTTATTTGAATGCAGGAAAATGGTACTGATTCTGCCACACGTTGTCACTTCTTCATGTTAAAATAAAGTTTGAAAACCTCCAGGCACTGTTCAGATGATGCATGCAGAGTTCTGACAGCTGAAAGAAAAGTTAACCGAGGGATACACCGAATGACTTTTGGAAGGCTGACGAGGCCAGAACCGATTCAGCAACTAGGACACACTGACAAAGTTGGGATGAGATCCATACTGCAAGCATACATGTCATGTTTGCAAGACTACAAGACGGTTATAAATACTAAAACCAGAGTTTATCACTGTCAATAATAAATTGGTTTGTCAGTTGATTATAATTGTTAAATACTCAGTTACTAATTTATGTATATTAATGATTTTTTCTCACTAGAAGCTGGTGGTGTTTTGATGAAATAGTCATATAAATTGGAGTAATCACAACAAGCAACATTACAAGGAGTTTTACACAAGTTTTACAGATTAAATACTGTCATCTGAATGAACTGCAGCTATTTTTTCTTTCCTTTTTTTTTTGTTTTTTTTTCTCTTCATGCGTGTAATTTAAAGCACAACTGCGCCACACTTGCTCTAAAGGAAAAGCATTCTGGGGAAACTGTTATAGTGTACCATAACCTAAATGTGTAAACTTTATACAATAAAGTGCTCCCCACGATATCAACAGTGAGATTATACAACCAAATGATGATGCGTGTTACATTTGAAGAACGTTTTCATACTGCATTAAGAGCAAAACACATCACTAATACAAACTGATGGTTGCAAAACTTTCCTCAAGCTGTCAGTGTTGCCTCTTCAGAATGAAAACTAAATAGCATACGCAAAAGGTTCATTAAGAGCACAGACAGTAAGAGAAAGAATATGTACAATATTGCAAAAATGGCAAGCCAGAAGGCACTTCATGATTTGTGTGGGATCAAATTCGAAAGCAAATTTAGCATATTAGCTGTGAGCGCGAAGGACTGGACGTCCCTTGCGCTGTTAAAATTAGGATTTGGAGCCTGTGCAGAAACCTTCTTTCAAGGTCAGAAGAAGAGATGCCCGGCATGACTCACATAATGCATGTAGCCAATTCATATAGCTATGAACACTACAATACTAAATATGGTGCAAAGGTGCAGAAGTACATTGGCTTTATAAAGTAAAGGGGCCCCATTAGGGTGATTTTACAAAGCTGCTCACATTGATCTCCTCTGGTACCAACTCTGATTTCATATATTGTAGTTAGGTAGTTACAATACATAACCTTTTTTTATTTAATAAATACCGCAGTGGACAGCATGTATTCCAAACATTGAGTACGTCGTGCTTATTATCTATTTAGATATTCCAAAGAGAAGAGGCTTTAAACAGATACTCTGAGCAGCTTTGTTAGTCATTGGGCTTTAACTAAGAAGTCCACTTCCTGGACAGAAAACGGGCAACAATGCTGCACAGGCATTGTGCAGTGCAATCCTACGACTGTCCGAACTTAAAGTTACATATAAAGTAGAGCAGCAACAATAAAACAAGTAGATTCTGTCTCCTCAAAAATAGCCAAGCATAGCAGTGCTACAGTTCTGCTGTGCATACACAAAAAGAGATTGCACTGACTTCTGAACAATAAAGCATGTCAGCTATCCAACCCTGCCATGGCTTTGAACAGATTATAACAATGAGTGGAACAGAAGCAGATGGAGGGAGGCTGGAGAGTGAGATACAAGTGTCCACTATCTCTAGGTGGTTTTGACAAGGTCATAGACATGAATATGAAAGTCATCATCATATTTGATATAGTAGACAGAGGGCTTGGCCGGGACCTGGTAGATGACCAAGCCTGTTCTCTTCACTCCCTTGTCAGTAACATACTCCACTTGTTTCCCCACCAGGCTCTCCGTCTCTTCTCCTGGCTTCCTGTCTGCAGGCAACAGGTGCTTGTTTTCTGAGGAGAGGAGCAAATCGTTACAACGTGTACACTACAAACACGTGTACTTTATTCAGTGTTGGAGTGCTTTTTTTGTCATTTGCTTTTCCTAAAATGTTAAACACTTCTGTAATCACACATCTCACACGTATAGTTTGTAAAGATAAACATATTCCACAACTACAATTCAGATTAACTCTAGTCTGTAGCATTATCTGACAAACATGTTTATCCCAGTAGTAATACATTGTATGAAACACAGTATAGGAGGTACATTATGAGTAAAACATCTAATCATATTGTATGGAATCACACACGACAGTTTAATTGGTTTGATTGCAAAATTATTGTAAGTTATATTTACAATGGCCACAATGATCTAAAACAGACATACTGAAGAGATAGACACCTTGGCACGAACACTACGATCAAATCTCTGATGTGTATTTCCCAAAAAATGTCTAATTTATCTGTAAAAAGGAGCTGAATCACATGTCCAAAGGGTCAAAAACAAAGGTTCTCTGTTATATTTCAAAACTCCAATTCAGTTCACCTCTCATTATGCAAAAAATAGTTTAAAAAAAGAAGGAATAGTGCCTCAACTCTCTCATTAGTATTATACGGTGTCATCTGGATTAATTAGTAAGTGGAAGTTTCTCAAATTTACCGATTATGTCTTCTTCAGACTTTTCAAAACCTTCTAAACAACCGCCCACATCTTGTACAGTATACAACAGAAGTGAGTACACCCCTGTGCAACATCACTTAAAAATCAAAGGTACAGCTGTTGTCCTGCTCAAATGCTGCACTGGAAAATGCAGGCGGCCAAGAAATACACCCTTGCTTGCTGTTTAGTACAAAACTGCAAGATTAAACTTCACTAAAGGACACAAAGAGAAGCCCAATGAAAGTACGTTATTTGGTCAGATGGTTAAGATAAATTTGTTAAGCCCACATGAGGTGTCGCGTATTTGCCACGAAAAAGTTCCTCCCAGAGGTGGGAGTGTGATGATATACAAGCAGATGAAAAAGAATAGTCTCTCAAGAACGGCATAAGAAATTTGGGTGTCCTCAAAACATGTGAGGATTAAGTCGGTCATCAAAAAAAATAAAACATAAGATCTGAATTTCAGCAATGCAAGGTGCACTGACATTGAGTTCCTACTGTAGGGTCAGTAGTTGCAATACAGTAAATCTAAACTGTCCGTTTTTTATTGTACGTATGAGCAAACATTGTTCAACTTGGAAGTACAGAAAATATTTCAAGGTGGTACAATTTAAAAAAATAAATCTTTTAATGGATATTGCATGGGGTGTTGCCACTTCTGTTATATTCTATATATCTGTAAACGGCAGCTTTACACAGAGTGAAATAACAAAGGACATGACTGTTTAACAAGCCTCTGTATTTGAATATTTCTTTTTATCTGGATTCAACTTTACTTGGAGTTACTGGGACTATGTTTTTGTGCCAAATCATATGAATATTCTCAAGTTAGAAGCTGCAGATTACACACAACTCCCTCAGGGTTTAAACTGTGGCGAAAGTATTTTCACGTCTTGATTTCCGAATCATTTTTGTGGACAACTTTCACTTGAAGCAGAATAAAACAGAGGTGTCCTTGGGGTGCTTGTAAACACCCCTTTGATACTGACTTGTAATGAATGTTTGCCGGTGAACTCACATGCTATCCATGGCAGACCATATTAAATGACATTGCGTTATGGAAAAATTAATTACATACAGAGAATGGTCATGTGTGGGTTCAACTCTGACGCCTTGGGACAAGATCATTACAGACTTAATAAAGCTTTGTGACTTGTCGGCCTGACTTTGTTAGGTACAAATTAGCAATACCTGCTTCAGGCAGAATCCTGAGGTCTCCGTCAGCGTAGTCGTCCCACAGCTGGTACATATAAAGAACGGGGTCCTTTTCATAAGTGATATAATACCAGTTGGTCATGATTGGAGCTCTGGAGAGGACCATTCCTCTCCACTCATTCTTCTCTCCGTCTTCCTTTTCAAACAAATGCTCCACAGCTTTGCCCACCAGCTCCTCCGCCCCTGGAGGGATCTTGATTTTGTTGTTTACTGTGGAGACACGCAAAGGATTCAACTAAGAAAGATGACAATTTATAACCCAGAATTTATGACTTGAAAAATTTCGATTAACGAACTGTGAAACGACCGAAGTAGTCACAGATCGCATGAAAATCCGTCACTAGACTCACCAACTTTTTCTGACAAGATTTGCAGGTTTGAAACTCGCTCATCCTTGAAGAGCTCAATGCCATAAACGCAGTCAAAGCCGTCATACTTCACCATGAAGAGAGACGGATTTACACTAAGTCTGTCGAGTACTGTTCCTTTCCATTTGCTCTGGTTTCCCCTCTCACGCCAATTATGCTGAATGCGGACTCCTAGGATGCAGTTGGGGTCCGGGGTTACTGTGTCGCTCAGTTCCCCGCTGCTTCGCTTCCTGGTAAAACAAGACAAATATGTAGGTGTGCGTGTAAAAACTGTAAAACCAAGTCTGTGCCTTACACATAAGCTGAAATAACTTGTTTCTTAATCAGGTCTATATGCAACATTAGTACCATCAAAACCGATATAATATTTAAATGTACCTCGATCAAAACACAGATTTTTGTCACACGTCCAAACTATTACTCCAACGTTGTCTATTTCATAATTGCAGCCACTTACACCTCGTTTAACCACTTTTTGTTTCTTCTTGTAGCTGTTGGTGACACTATAGTTTTTCTGAAACCACCAAAGACGGCATCATGTGACGGCAATACACATACAATGATTCTACATACCTGCCCCTTTTCTTGGACATGCCTCCAGAAATTCACAGGTTACTAATTAAGAGAAAGACAGGGCAATGTTCAGTTATTACGTCTGTGTAGATTCTCCGTCATCCAGGTCATTGTAATACTATGAGCTTCGGTAAAAAGCAACTGGGCTTCTTGAAGACGTTTCACCACTCATCTAAAGAGGTCTCATTTGTTGGCAACTATTCTGATAAATAGTTTTAGTTTTTTTTTTTGAAGAAAATATCTAAATTCTTTGATCCCAGCTTCTTAAATCTTATTATTTTCTGGTTTCTTTACCCCTCTGAATTTCTTTGGGTTGTAGAAAAAGCACGGCATGTCATCTTGAGCTTTGAGAAACACTGATCAACATTTCTTGACATTTTATAGACCACACAACTAATCGAGCTTCAGTAAAATGCAGCTGGACTTTTCACCTTTCATCCAAGAGTTTCCGTAGTTTTGAGGCGTCTGAAGATGTTTCACCTTTCATCCCAGAGGCTTTCTTCTTGGGCCAGAGGTGAAACGTCTTTAACGATCTTAAAGAGAAATCCAGTTGCTTTCTACTGAAGCTCACAGGATTTCACTTATTATTGGAGTGAGAACGCCGGCTGTCAAACTGACAAACACATCTACGGCTGCAAACAACAATTACTTTTACTTTCAATCAATATGGCTAATATTTTCTTGACTGCGGTCTGTAAAATGTCAGAAATTAGTCAAAACAAATCTTGATCTGTGTTTGCCAAGGTTCAAGATGACGTCCCTAAATGTCTTGTTTTGTTCACATGATCAGCTTACTGTCTTAGAGAGGGGAAGAAAGCAGAAAATGTGAGGATTTATACTTTCATTTCTTTAAAAAAGACTCAAATCGCATTATGTCATAGCTGGCAACCAATATAATCGGTGGCAGGTAAGAGATTAATCTTTACAGCCTCTGCTATGACATAAGGAAGGCCTCTCCTTGCCTGTCAGAAATAAAAACCTACACACACACACACACACACACACACACACACACAGAGGCTGCAACCCACTCAACAGACTGACAACTCCAGCAGCCAATGGATTAGCATGATGGAATAACTTCCTGGGTATTTACTGAGACTACACAGCCATGGAGGTCACTGCTTGTAATGTACAGTAACACCAAAACTACACTGTGTTTTTGTCATATGTAGTCAGCCGATATAGCAGCACTCAGCTCAGTTTAGGATTACAAAGTCTCTGGCTGACACAACTTTAACAGAGCACGTCAGCCATTTCACTGTTTGTGTCCAATTACAGAATGTAACGTTAGCCGGTGACATGTTAAGGAGTTAGCAACATACATGTAAAAAATTTACTGCTAGATAAGCTACCTGAGAATTCATGCCCACCTGTCCTGGACTAAATCCAACAGCCCACACTGTAGGTTACCAGGAACACTCGTCTGTCTTAGCTCTACCTCAATGCAGATGTTACTGTAGGTAAGTGGAGGCGGACAGCTACATCCACTCCTCGGCTGTCGCTAACGGCAGCTAACAAACACCAGAGACTCCTGCGTGTGTTTACGGGCTCATTATTCTCCACCTGGAACATTTTTCTAATTACCTTTACGCAGATTTCATTTCAGTATTGTTCAGTTCGTCTGGCAGAGAAATGTTGCCACACACCAACCCGCCTATGTAAATCTCGCGAAACCTGTGGAAAATGGGAGCTTCGCGGGGAGAGTGGAGAGAAGACTCCACTTCCCGGCGGGCCTCCGGCCGCCATGACCGCAGAGGAGAATGCGAGCGTGCGCGCAGTGCATTCTGGGAAGTGGCGTTTTAGTGACAGTGATACGGAGTTTTGACAAGCGGCTGTTGGAACAGTTGCTGCTGAGTCCGTGACAGGTATCGCCGGGATGAATTCCGCGTTTGTGTGTTAACAGAAAGAGAGTAATTTTGTTTTATGTGCAAATTTAGCGATATGACAAGCTACACAACACACCGACAACAGGTAAAGTGAGGTCAGGATTTTGTGTGACGCAGGGGTTGCCTATAGTTAAAATTAAAGAGACAGCCAGCAGCAGAAATGTTTGAATATTGGGTCAGTAATGTGGGACCCAAAACTAAGTTCTGTAAAGTATTTTTGCTGCATTTTTAACATATTATATTTTTTCAGACCATTTGCATTTTCACCCTCAAAAAAATAGGCATACCTGAGAAGCCATTTTAAGGGTTTAATAAAGTTAGCTACCAGCTAATTTGTAGGGCAGATACAGAAAAAGAAAAGAACCACAGAGAAATTAAATGCACGTCATAAAACAATACAAAACTTAAAAGTCCATCAGTCTGTGATAATAAATAAGTAAATACTATGAATAAAAAGCAGCCATTGGTGGAGACAGTTTTGTACTGGATTGAGGCTGGATTTAAACACTGCAAAGCTTCCTGAATCTGTAATGGAGCTCTTTAACTTCTCTAACTGCAGAAAAAGCTGTATTGTGCCACCCAATCACCTGTATTAGATGCTCTAATCATGCACCACTGACACCCGAATATACAGCTGAAACCAGAAGTTTACATACACCTGGACCTCCACAAGTCTGGTTCATTCTTGGATACAACTTTCAGATGCCTGCAGGTTCCACATTCATCTGTTCAAACAATTATACACAAGTATAAACACCATGGGAATGTCTAGCCGTCAGGAAGGAGACGGGTTCTGTGTCCCAGAGATGAACATATTTTGCTGTGAAATGTGCATATCAACCCCAGAACAAAAGCAGAAGACCCTGTGAAGATGCTGCTGAAGCTGGTATGAGAGTGTCATCATCCACAGTGAAACGAGTCCTGTACTGACATGGGCTGTAAGGCTACTCAGAGAGGAAGAAGACATGACTCCAAAAGCAACATAAAAAAAAAAATAAAACAGATTACAGTTTGGAAATGCACACAGGGACAAAGACCTTCATTTTTGGAGACATGTCCTGTGGCCTGATGAAACTAAAACTTAACTGTTTGGCCTTAATGACCATCGTTGCATTTGGAGGAAAAAAGGGGGAAGCTTGCCAGCCTGAGAACACCAACTCAACTGTGAAGTACGGGGGTGGCAGCATCATGTTGTTCGGGTCTTTTGCTGCAGGAGGAACTGGTGCACTTCCCAAAATAGATGGCATCATGAGGAAAGAAGACGTTAGCCAATAAGTTAAAACTTGGCCACAAATAGGTCTTCCAAATGGATAATGACCCTTAGCGTGCAACCAAATTAAAGTGGCTTCAGGACAACAAAGTCAGTGTTTTGGAGTGGCCATCACAAAGCCCTCATCTCAATCCTGTAGAACATTTGTGGGCAGAGCTGAAAAGACATGTGCGAGCAAGGCGGCCAACAAACCTGACTCAGTTACACGAGTTCTGTCAGGAGGAATGGGCCAGAATTCATCAAACTATTGTGAGAAGCTTGTGGAAGGAAACCTAAAACATTTGACCCAAATCATACCGTTTAAAGGCAATGCTACCAAATACTAAGGACATGTATATAAACGTCTGACTTTGAAGAAAATAGTAAAAATGTATCTAAAAAAATTCTCTCTCTCTCATTATTCTGGCATTTAGCAAATAGAAATAATTTTGGTCATCCTAACTGACCTAAAACAGGAAAAGTTTAGTCTGATTTAATGTCAGACAATCAGAAAAGACAGGTTATATGTTTTTTGATGCAGTGTATGTAAACTTCTGGTTTCAACTGTACATCACTTTAATTTTTAACAATAACAGCCTTCAATGTATAGGCTCTACATATACACAATCCCACCCAGCCAACTAAACATATGCCATACTAGGGGATGCAATAATTTTCATGACAGATATTTGTTCATTATTAGGCAATAAATAACTTTGCAACATAACACAAACACAAACTGAGTGCATTGGATATCATTCTATATCCATAAACATGACACAATGTTATGTATGTCATTGTACTGGAGAATCTCTGCCCTAGCAGCCTACAGTTTGGTTTAGTGATGTGAGCTTTAGCTGATATTCCTTGCCTGTCACATAAGACATTGTCACGGTGCTACCTGAACACAGCTGCACGTCCTTCATCTCCCTCCCCTTTTTTTCCCCTTAAAATATTACCAAATAACTACTTATTCATTAACATCCCTACGCCATACATTTAGGGGTAACTGACCTGTTCAGCTTTTATTGAAAATGGAACAACAGACACCCATTTGTTTCCTCTACAAAGTAATACGTTGCAATGACTACAGAGTTAATTATTTTTGTTACAAAAAAATGAATGAAATCCGAGGCACACAGATTAGTCTGCTGATATTTTATTGTTCATTATTTATTGTGAATTATTGTTATTATTGCTTTAGGTGAGGTGATGACACTGTTTGACACATATATTCAATGCAACACAAAGAGCCTCAGAATTTTATTTTATTTTTAAGCTTAGTTTGTTACATTCAGCTCCAGATAGATTCATGATGAACTTTGCTATTTGGAAAGCATCCCATATAACACAAATACTGATGAGCACAAGGTGACAAAAAGAAAAAAACATTATCTCATCTCAACAAGCACAGCGTTACAATTCAATCAAGCATGCTGACACATTATCATTCAATCTGACTGGCCTCACTGTTTCTTATCACGTCTGTTATCCATTCCCTGAAGGACGATATGCGTGTGTAGACATCTGGGGTTCGAGGGTCTCCACATCGCCGCCCAGAAAAGGAGACGACACCTGCTGCAGCTCCGTCACACACAAGTGGACCACCCGAATCCCCCTTAAGGAGAAATGATAGAAAACACACACACACCAGTAAGTGGGCTTTGTTTAAAATACATTATGATTTTTGTTTGTGCTCAGTTTTGCCTGATCAGCGTTCAATCCGTGCGTTTCCTTACAGAGCAGAAGCCTTGAATGGCACGACCCCCCACGCCGCAAACCATCGCTCTGGTGATGGGAACTTGCCCCCATCTCCTTCGACATGCCTGTGCCGACAGCGTGGTGACGTTGACTTCTTGAAGCCTGAGCGGTAAGGTGTTGTTATCACCGATATCCCCCCAGCCAGCTGTGAGGCACTGACTCGCTGCTCTCAGCCTGTCAGCCTTCAGAGTAATCAGCTGCACTGCGTTGTTCAGGACGGCCTTGGTGTTAAGCTGAGGAGGAGATCAATGGGAGAAAAATGATAATTGTGTTCCCTTTTATCTTCTTAAAACACATTTAATGGTGTGGCGCAAAATAATAAATAGGGATTTATCTACATTAAATCTTGTACAGTGTAGTGGACAGCAGTGAAAACTGTCCTCACCTGTATGAGCATGATGTCATTCCGGTGTCCATCATACTGTGGATGTGGAATGACTCTGGCAGATGTGAACTCCTGCTTTGTGGACTCGTTACCTATCAGGGAATTGACTCCAAGCACCACAGTGTATGGTCTGAAAATCACAACATTACATATGATGAGATGTTAAGGCAGCTAATAATCTCTCTTTCATCATTGCTTTCTGTGTCTCTGCACATATGAGAAAAAAAAACATGTTGACGACCATATTAAAAGCATACGTTTCTAGATTAATTTTCCATCTTCAGATCAGTTGTTTCCGTTCATTTCAGTTTAGTACGACTATCAACTTGCAGAGACTTGCGCCATATGCAGTGATTCACCAGGGTGCACATTTTACTGCCCTGTTTTTTATTTTTGTCAAAGTTATCTTTTTTGTGTTGAATGTACCTAAAAAAAAAAAAAAAGAAGCTTATCACAATTTAACTTCATGTTGACAAGTAGATTTAAACAAATGTATTGTTTCCTGTGATGGATTACTTGTGTGGCAAATTTTAAGTCACCTCAAATAAATTAAATTAAAGAAGCAGCTACAGGGAAAGTATCAACAGCTAGGGATCAAGTTGTTGTATAGTGTGAGAAATCATTTGCCTGTTTTCTCTCAAAATCACAGATTCTAGAGGACGTTATTACTATAATGTGGGAAAACACTGGTCAAGCTTAAAATGATATCGAGCTGCTAGCTGGTGTAGGTATGCCAGCTCATAGACCTCCATCACATGACCACGAAGGCTACTTTTGAAACATACAAAAGAAATGTGAGTACAGCAAGCACTGATTCTGTCAATAAAGAGGTAAACATTTGTTTTTCATACACATTAAGACAACACACCCCCCACGTTCTCCCTCTGCTTTGTAATTACAATGTATAAGCTCACTCTGGGGACGAATTTTCTTTTTTTCTTTTAAACTTTCTAGCTGGTATAGTTATGCCATTTCTACCAACAAAATAAAACGGTAAATTCTTACATGGGAACCTCACAATGGGCTGCTGTGACCACAAAGCTCTCCCCCACAAGTGCTCCTCCACAGATGTGGCGACCTTGGACTTGCAACGAGGCCATGTATGGACGCGAGTTGGGGGCAGCATCTCTGCCTCCAACAATATGAGCGCCATCAGCTCCTGACACACAAAATACAGCATTATTTACTTATGTTAATCCAACTTAGTGTAGGGTTTGTAGATATTGTAGCATATATTTGCAATGTAAAAGAAACAAGTAATTGACAAAATAAGTCTGATCGTTTGGCTGCTTTAAGAGTTTTGATTATAAAGATAGTGTCGCTTACCAGTGGTGACAAAGAACAGCACAAGGAAGAAGCTCAGTGCCATGGTCTCTGTGAAACCAAGACTTTCCTCTCTTGGTTTTTTATAAACTTTAGAGAGGAAAATGTCTTGCTTATTCTGTGGTCTGTTTTGCTTCAGTGTGTTTGCCAACATGCTGTTGGCATTGTTGTGAAGTTGCTGGTGAGATTACAAAAGACATGGTTCTAGCTTTTGAAAACAAGGTTTCATAATTCATGTAAGAGACCGATGGAGTTAAAGTTCTAACGGCTTTAGAGATTCTTCAAGAAGAAACACAGAAGATTGAATCAGTGCCGATATAGTTTAGCTTTGATGGCAAGAATTTACAAAAACAGACTTTTTCATGTCAAAGTCAAAACAGATTTTTAAGTATAAAATGTAAAATCAGGGGTTGCTTAAGCATTTACTTCCTTCTAGTCAGTATTTAGTAGATGCAACTCTGGCTGCAATTACAGCATTGAGCCTGTGTAGATAGATCTCAGTTAGCCTTTGCCATCTGGACACTGTATTTTTACACTGTTTTTTTTTGTAAAACTGCTGATGTTTTGTCAGGCTGCACTGTGAGAGAACAGTCCTTTTTAAGTCCAGCCACAAAGTCTTGGTGGGATTGAGGCCTGGGCTCTCCAGAACGTTCACCTTGTTGTCTTTGAACCGTTTCTGTGTAGTTTTGGCTGTATGCTTCGGGTCATTGTCTTGCTGGAAAGTAAAAGCTCTTGTAAGTCGCAGTTGTCTAGCAGACTGCATCAGGTTGTCTTCCAGGATTCTGATACACTTTTCTGCATTCAGTTTTCCCTTTACCTGTAAGATTTCTTCTTTTTTTTAAATCAGACAATGAGTATTTTTTAAGTAGGAGCTGTTTTTAACCTTGACGTGTTTCGACTGTCACTTCAGCCTTCCTCAGAAATGACACTGAAGTCTGTGGTGACGTGTCTATATCAGCTGGTGGTTTCCTGTGACAATCGAAACATATCAAGGTAAAAACAGCTCCTACTTAAAAGCGCTCATTGTCTGCTAAAAACAAAAAAGAGAGAGAAACCTTATACCTATAATCAGAGTAGACAAAATGAACCTAATCACACTTTCCCTTTACAAGCCTTCAGGGCCTGCTGAAGCATCCCCATGTCATGATGCTACCACCACCATGCTTCACAGGGGGGATGGTGTGTTTATGATGATATGCAGTGTTTGGTGTCTGCCAAGTGTGATGGCCAAAGACCTCAATTTTTGTCTAATTAGATTAAAGAATCTTTTCTAGCTGGTTTCAGAGTCTCCCACATGCCTTCTGGCAAACTCTCGTTTATATTTACTATGAGCTTTTTTTTTCAACAATGACTTTCTCTTTGCCAATCTCCAATAAAGCTTGGACTGGTGAAGGAAGGCAGCAGCTGCTGTATGCACAGCTTCTTCAGATTTTGTTGCTGAAGTATGCAACCTCTTCAGAGGAGTCATAGGGGTCTTGGCGGCCTCCCTCACTAGACTGTTTTCTGCACAGTCACTCAGTTTTTGAGGACAACCTGTTCCAGGCAGAGTTTTGTATGTTCCTTTCATTTCTTTAATGATAAATGTAAGTGTACTCCAAGAGATATTCAGTGGCCTGGACATTTTCTTGTATCCTTCCTCTGACTTGTCAAGGGAGTAAATACTTAAGCAATCAATTATTTTGCATTTTACATTCAAAATTATTTGACATTGCTTATAGAAATTGACACGAAAGAGCATCTTTTTGTAGATTCTTGTCAAAAAAGCCAAATTTAAAAAACAATTATTCAATGCTGAAAAGCAATTGAAGGGGAAGACTTCTAATGTGGGTGGATACTTGTGTGTTTTTGTGTTTCCCTAAATCATTTCTTGCAATATACTGAAAGTATTACACTTATGATTAACTATAGGAGAGAAAAATATGTATAGGCCAAATGCCTGTTTGTGTGTGATGCTTACAAAACTGCCGTTTATTCCTCAATATTCTTGCTCGGATTTAAATCTTACAAAACATTATGAGACTCATTTCACCTTCTTCTTTTCTATTTGGTTACCCCACAGCTCTGTTAAAAGCAAGTATTGTGTGGAAAGAATGTGGTTTTGTGCAACATATTGCCGCCACAGAACAATTCAGCTTCAATGCGCAGCTTCGTTTCTCAGATTTGTGACACTGAAAGTTGATTTTTTTAAAACTCTCAAGTAAAACTGTAGCAATATGAAGTGCATCAACTACAGAACACAGCACCAGAAAAAAGCCTTTTTAACACTGTTAGGTTTGTGTTGAATTCAGCTGAACATTGAAAAGTAAAGACCACTGAATACTTTATATTATCTCCCATTAAGAATGTTATTTAAGGACACAAAATATTTTAAATGAAGGTTTAATTTTTCATTTTGGTTTAACGGCAAATAGCTAAGAAAGAGCTAACTAGACACAAAGATATTCCCACAACAACTCAAAAGTATGTTAGTAAAGTAAAGTAAAGTAAAGTAAGTCTGAAATCTGTTTTGACAATGTCTTTGAGCTGAGACAATGTTATCTTGAGTTGACCACATCCTTTGTACAAAGTAAGTTTCCATGTTGCGACTTGTATTATCTGATTCATATCTATGATCAAGCACTACTGTGAAGCTACATGCACCAAAGTATCAATATGAGATGAGTTTATCACAGACTGTCACATGAATTCACTCTTCTTTTCTCATTATTTTTAACTAACATTTTCTATTGACTTTTGTATTTCAGCCTCAGGATTTTTTCTTTTTGTTCTTCATTCACAAATCAAGTAACTTTTCTGGACTAATACCACTTTTTGGGGGGGCGTTGGTAGAAACTTTGTGACTGTCCTCTGGGTTTTAAGAAACTGCTGATTCATTCATTAGATTCTTCTATTTACTTCATTTAAGATGTATTTTACGTATTTCTCAATCTCTTGATTTCATTTTTGACTCAAAGTTAGGTGAATTTCATGAGTCTTTACTTTGATATATTTATTATCTTTGTGATGAATAAGAACAAATATGATGTCAGTATACCAGAGAGTATTTGTTTGAAATAGCGACGCTAACATTTCCTTGCAATCTGACAAACTGAATGAACCACAGAGACCAGCTTCCTGCCTCTCCTTTAGCATCAGTGGTGTCAGAGTCACAGTTATGAAGCTAATGCGCTGCTTAAATCCATTTAATAAGTATGTGTTAGCAGCAAGGAGCTTCAGTGCTGACTTTGAATGTTTTAACTCACCATAAGAGAGCATGTGTTCATTTAGTAAGATTTGTAACAGCAGATTTAAGTAATTATTCAAACACAAAATCAATATATTGAAATGTTTTATCAGCTAAAGCAGCTATATTTAGACTTTTTACATTACAGACAGCAAGTAATGGGTTTTAAAGAGCCGAGATGTTTTATGATTTGATTTCCTATTAGGATTGACTGAAGAGGAAAATAATTCTCCCTCATCACTTCACCCATCAGTGACCACAAAGTCTTAATTTATGAGAAACACCCCACATACATGACCTCTATGGTTCTGCACTGAGGACACATACAACAGCAAGTTTCTTGGGCCTTTTTACCATTTGTAAATGGCTTGTCTGTCCACCAGTCAGTCCAACGCTTTGGTCCAGATTGAAAGTTCTCGGTACCAGTTTGAAAGAGATGACATTCTGTACAGATTTCTTTCATCCCCTGACTTTTCTTTCTATAGCACTATCATGAGGTTTTTCAGGAAAATATCAAGTGGTCGTCTTCTCCAGTGTGCTTCAAGTTTAATCAGCAAATGTTAGCATGCTGATACACTAAACCGAGATGGTGAATATAGAAGAAATGCCTGCATAATGTCAACATTGTAGCGCTGACATTGTGAGCATGCCGGTGTGCTTATATTAGCATTAAGCTCATTGCACCAATGTGGCCTAGTACCTTCTCACAGAGCAGCTAGTCTGTCTGCAGACTCAGCCCTGGTTATATTTTCCTCAGGTAAGATATTTGGAATTGGATGGAGGTTGGAAGAATCATTNGTCTTCTCCAGTGTGCTTCAAGTTTAATCAGCAAATGTTAGCATGCTGATACACTAAACCGAGATGGTGAATATGGAAGAAATGCCTGCAAAATGTCAACATTGTAGCGCTGACATTGTGAGCATGACGGTGTGCTTATATTAGCATTAAGCTCATAGCACCAATGTGGCCTAGCACCTTCTCATAGAGCAGCTAGTCTGTCTGCAGACTCAGCCCTGGTTATATTTTCCTCAGGTAAGATATTTGGAATTAGATGGAGGTGGAAGAATCATTTGGTTCTTATACTTACAGTTAGAATATAAATACCACGGTGTAGGTCTGTGGTAGCTTCTCAATCATCCAGGTCATGTTAAGTGTTTCAGAAGAACTGTCATGCATTTAAATTTATACTCAAGTAAAAGCACAAAAATATTTGCATCTAACTGTATTTATGCAGAATGGCCTATATCAGAGTAATGTACATTTTAAGATTATAGTTATGAATGCATTATTGGGTTCAGTACTTTATTGTTGGTGCTGGTAGAAGTGATTTACCTTCAGGACTCACAAAAGTTTTATCATATTCTATAGTGGTACATTATTATTAAGGTATAAAGTAATCGTAGCTGGTAAAAAGTAGAACATCTGCCCCCGAATTGCAGTGAAGTGTAAAGTATCAGAAAATGGAAATACTCAAGTAAATTACAAGTAACTCAAAAATGTACTCAAGCGCAATACTTCAGTAAATGTACTTTGTTCATTCCCACAACTAGATGTATTTAGGAGGATGTCATACTCGTCAATTTTGATTTGCATATTTCTATTCTACTATATTACTGTAAAGGATGCTTCTAAATCTTGAGTCTTGTCAGTTTCCATGAATATAGTAAAGTAATTCTGTTTATGATCTTTAGACACTGATCTTTGTCAACTTAGGCTTTTATGATTGAGCGCAGCTGTCTGCCAGAAAGTGACTGCCCTCTGTTGGAGCATGTGCTGGTGCTGTTGCTAAATTGAAATATTTGAGGTTTGTGTAAAACTACCTAATTGTTAAAATGGTTTAAATTACCCCTTACTAGGTTATCCAGTTCAATAACAGTCACCAAACCTGCAGCTAAGACAAAATCACACTCTAATGATTTAATTTCATTAATTCAGTGTCCTAAGTCTATCGTCTGATACGAGTGTCACAGTAAG